AGTGCTGAGTGTGGGGGAAAGATGGCGACCGAGTCTCACTTGTTGTGGCCTATTGGAGAGGAAGTCTTTAATCCAAGCGCAGGTGGAGGGAGGGAGGCGTAAGTCCAGGAGTTTTTTAATCAGAATGTCCGGGTTTATTGTATTGAAGGCTGAGCTGAAATCTATGAAGAGCAGTCTTGCATAGTTACCCGGGTGGTCAAGGTGTTTCAGCGTTGCATGGAGGGCGATGGCAATGGCGTCCTCAGTGGAACGGTTTGCCCTGTAGGCTAACTGGTGGGGGTCAAATGATGGTCTAGGTCCACACTAATACGTAAAAAGTTCTTTACGGGAGTTTCCAAAAGAAAAGATCTGCATCCACACTTCTGTTATCACTAGCAGTGAAAGAAACTTCTGCATTCACACTGCTCCATGTAAAAGGCAAATGACGTAACTATAAGAGTGGTTGTTAATGTGTATATTGCTGATATTTTTCATTTGCAGGAATTTAACCAAAGCTTTTTATATTATTTTTAGAAGTGCTGCACTTCATATTTTATTTGTTTGTTGTGGCTCAAACATGTCTCACGTCGTTTGCATGTTTTTTGTCCAACAAAATTCTTTTATACTTCTAGAAGTGCCGAAGCATATATTTTGAATCATTAATTTTGACTTTGAGTAGTAATAAAGTTAAATTTTTATTAACGCTTGACTTGATTAATCCCACACACAACCACATATTTAAAGTAAATGCATGTATTTTATTTAGCAAAAGTGAAATATCACAGTACTGTGGCGTCACAAACACAAAGCTGTACATGAAAGGAACCGTCACAGCAACAACACAGGGATCCAGAAATTTAGTCACTACACGTCTCACTCTCTTCTCCTCAGTTTCAGTGCATGCGAAGGTTCGACGGCTGGCTGTCTTTATCGTAAGCTAGAACTGCACTTACACTTGGCTCAGGTACAGTCTTGTTTTGAGCTCCACAATAGTTGTAAACAGCATACAATGTACACAAAACATGACTTAGCTGCACACAAGTAAGCAAAACAACATATGTCAGGTAGCAAGAGTCCTGAACATCCTCCATGTTCACATGAGGCTTACTTCTGGGAAAACACAGGCAGAGCATTCTTCATTCCCGTGAAGAATAACCAATTAGGAAAAGAGACATCGAAACGAAGAGAGCTAATCAGGAAAGGGTCATGAGCTAAGTACGAACCAATCAGAGCTCACTGATGTAGGCGTAACAAAATTCTCATGTTTATGAGTGTCTGCACTAATGCATTCACAGAAAGATTAGTTGCCGGAGAGTGACTATCTGTTTCTCCGTTTCTGGGAAAAAAAGATCGGTGGTAGTGTGGAAGAAAGGCTAAATCGGAAGAAGACTTTTACTAAACAAAAAAGTATTAATGCAGATGGGTCATTAGGTATGGCCATCTGTAGTGTTTCCATGTGTGGGGAGAATGTTGGCCTCGTCGAGAGATTTACTCACCTGGGCAGCGACATCCATGTCGCTGGTGACTCTTCCTATGAAGTCAGCAGATAGATTGGAAGAGCATGGGGGGTCATAAGGTCGCTGGAAAGGGGTGTGTAGCTCCTGATATCTTTGGGCGAAGGTCCAAGTCTTTAGAGTCCTGGTGCTCCCTGTCTTGCTGTATGGCTGTGAGACATAGACGCTATCCAGTGAGCTGAGACGAAGACTGGACTCCTTCGGTACTGTGTCTCTTCGGAGAATCCTTGGGTATCGCTGGTTTGACTTTGTGTCGAATGAGCGATTGCTAGAGGAGTCCCGAATGAGGCACATTACCTGCATTGTGAGGGAGTGTCAGTTACGGCACTACGGTCATGTGGCGCGACTCCCTGAGGGTGATCCGGCTTACAGGATCCTCAGGCCGAGGGGACGCCCACGTAACACCTGGCTGCGGCAGATAGACGGCCATTTCCGACTGGGGGGGGGACTGGACTGTATATCTGCCTGGGGGGGTCGCCAGTCAGAATGCCAAGGTGCTTAATCATGTGGTGGATGTGGCAACACGCTGCATCAGACACCCCCAACCTGACCTGACCTGACCTACACTTTTACTAAGAGTTAAAACAACTAGCATACAATGAGCAAGTCCATAATACTGATCAAATCCAAAGAGAAGTTTACTTGCTCCTGAATTATTTTAAGAAATAATACAAATTGGGAAAATACTTTTGACACTGTTAATTTCGATGCATTAAAAGAGTATGTAGATGCACAGCATTTAATTGTGGAATTAAAATATTTAATTTGAAGGTGTTGGTGACATCTTATACCAAGGGCTCCCTGAGGGGGGTCTGCGAGGGACAAACAAACGTCGATCCCTTGTCATTGCTGTCCGTCAACACCTGAAGAGGGACAGATTCCACAGCTTTACTCCTCTGCTGCAGGCATTTAAACACTTTGACAAGGTATACATACCGGGCCAGAGTTATATACCTAAAGTTATACATGTGGTAGTGCTATGGCTTCATACTCTAATGGGGTCCCTTCCGGTCATGGCTAGCAGTGCATGCTATATATTATTTATTTATAGTAGTAAACTGCCAGCCTATGAAGATAACAGATGTTACACACTTGGCAACTCAAATATATATGAATATGATTTGATAAAAAATAAAATGAAATAAATGATGGTTTAATTGCATAAACAAAAGTCGCAGTGAAATGGGTTACAGGGATTTCTTTGTTGGTCCACAGAATGGCGAGGGGTTCATCAATAAAGGAGATCTGCAGGATGCCTGTGGCATGTTTAACCTGGACCTCAGCAGCCCTGCGCTTGATGCTCTGATGGAGATCTGTGGCAAAAACGAAGGCGGTCAGATAGACTTCCTGGAATTTTTTAATCTTCTCAACTGGAGGGATAACTTGGCGGTCAAGGAATCGGAAGAGCAGATTCTCACTGGAGGTTAATAACACAGTCATCCATCCATCCATGATCTATACCGCTTCATCCATCTGGGTCGCGGGGAAGCTAATAACACAGTCAGTTTTTTATTAATCTTGTTTGTTTATATTGGACCCGCATATCATTCATTTGTATGAGCTAGCTTTATATTTCACAAAATACAGTTCCCAAGGTGCTATTATTGTATATTCTGGGGTCAAGAGTCTCCCTTTTCACGATTACAAACTCACAATCTTTCAAGATAATGACTATACTTGAATGTATAATGTGCAACCTGCGGAATGTCATGACCTCTAACACTGGGGCATAGTGTAACCTGCTCTTGTTCCTTCCCTTATATTAGAACAGCCACGCAGAACTGCCCATGCGGATTCGCATAGCGACCGACCCCAGAGAGCCAGGACAGCAGCAGCATCAGGGGCCTGGACCAGGCATGAGGACTTGGAGCAAACCCACGTGGACGGTACCCTGAGGACACCTGGAGTCCGGACCAGAACCGCGCCCAGCCGCCCGGCCCAGAACCGTGCTCAGCCGGCAGGCCCAGAACCGTGCCCAGCCGGCAGGCCCAGAACCGTGCCCAGCCGCAGCATGGCCTCCTCCTCGATGATGCACGCTGTTGTGGGCGGTCCCATCTGTGATAGTGAGTGAGGAAAATAAAAACACACAAATAGATAAATGGTTGCTTTAAAATAAGATACGCAAAAGTCCTGTGGTTTTTTAATCAGTTGTTAAACTCTAAGCCCTTTGCTGTATAAGGGAGTTCTTTCAGGCATATACCTGTGCATCACTGTTTCCCAATCCAGTCCTTGTTTATGCTCCCTCCCAGCTCCCTGCCAGACAGTCCACATTTTCGCTCCCTCACAGCTCCTGGAGCAAAAACATGGACTGGGACTGGGAAACAGTGATGCACAGGTATATGCATCCCGGACTGGGAAACACTGATGTATAATCAGTTACTTCAGTAAGCAGATTTTTAAAATAAAAATAAAATTTTTTTCACAATTACCTCGTTTATCTGATATTTCCCACTACTTTTTTGTTTTAATTGGACATTTATGTATGAAATATGTTTCTTCCAGAGTTATGTTCCTTGGTATCACCTTTCATCAGGTTAAGCATCCAATTAACACTTCAGCTGATACTCAGTTTTGAAAATAAGCCAAACTGCTGGACTTAACTACACGTTGCAACCGTCTTCTTCAGATTCCCGCCTAGGATTTCATTGTTGTACTTTGTACTGTTTCTCAGATGCCCGTACATATGGAGTCCCTACCGTCCGCACCGACTTGGCTGCCCCGCGATTGAAACGTGTCGGCGACAGGACAAACTACGGAGATGCGTCAACAGCACATGAGCTGCTTCACCCCACAATCTACTCCCAGAAAGGCATCCCTGAGGAGGTCCTGTTCACCCCCCGGACCAAAGATGAGGTACTTTTCCCTTATTCATACATACAGTATAGTCATACTTTAAATTGATAGAATAGAATAACATAGAATAGAATAGAATGCCTTTGTTGTCATTGCACACAAAAGGTGCTACAAAATGCAATGACCAAATCCCTGAGTGATACTTTCAGTAAGAAAAAACTAAATATAAATATAGGTGTGCTCAGGTATCTAGTGTGCTGTGCTGTTTGGAGTTTCTTCAAACCTCTCATTTATTAACACGTAGATCAGCTACACCTGGTGTAAATGGCTGATTCCTGTAGGACTTCAACCTTAAACCGCCGTGGGAGATGTTAATGCCTTTGCTTCTTCCTGGTGCTTCAGATCTCACAGATATTCAGGAATTTGGGTGTTGACATCAGTGAAGCAGTGTTTGAAGAGGCATGGAAGCTGGCCTCAATGACACACCCTGGGGGCAAAGTTTGTGTGGAGGTCTTCAGAAATGTCCTAAAGGAGATACAAGCATATTAAATATATGTACAGTAGATTGTATATTAAATGTTGTATTGATTTAAAAAATGATAAAAGTTTAAATTAGTATGACATTTAAGATATTAATTCCAGCTCATTTTCATTGGTTTATTGGTCAAATTCGTCTCCTGCAATTTATATGAAGATTGATTGGTGTGATGGAAGGTGAACTGGAGATGCTTGAATAAGCATCCATTTCCATACATACCTATGTAGCACAGAGTTGACCTGATCTATGAGGCAAACGCCACAAGGCAGGGGACACTCTGGACCCATGTTACATGCATACACAGTCACATATTAAGAGAGGTTTAGAGGTACCACCAACTATCATTTGGAGAGTAAGTGCCCACAAACTGGGAAGACGTAGAACTCCAGAAAGAGAGGGAAGACGTAGAACTCCACAAACAGGGAAGACGTAGAACTCCACAAACTGGGAAGACGTAGAACTCCACAAACACAGGGAAGACGTAGAACTCCACAAACAGGGACGACGTAGAACTCCACAAACAGGGAAGACATAGAACTCCACAAGCAGGAATGACGTAGAACTCCACAAACACAAGGAAGATGTTGAACTCCACAAACAGGGAACACGTAGAACTCCACAAACAAAGGGAAGATGTAGAACTCAAGAAACAGGGACGACGTAGAACTCCACAAACAGGGAAGACATAGAACTCCACAAGCAGGAATGACGTAGAACTCCACAAACACAAGGAAGATGTTGAACTCCACAAACAGGGAACACGTAGAACTCCACAAACAAAGGGAAGATGTAGAACTCAAGAAACAGGGAAGACGTAGAACTCCACAAACACAGGGAAGATGTAGAACCCCACAAACACAGGGAAGACGCAGAACTCCACAAACAGGGAAGATGTTGAACTCCACAAACGCAGGGAAGACGTAGAACTCAACAAACAGGGAAGACATAGAACCCCACAAACACAAGGAAGACGCAGAACTCCACAAACAGGGAAGATGTAGAACCTCACAAACACAGGGAAGACGCAGAAGTCCACAAACAGGGAAGATGCAGGACCTCACAAACACAGGGAAGATGCAGAACTCAACAAACAGGGAAGATGTAGAACCCCACAAACACAGGGAAGACATATAACTCCACCGACACAAATAGCCAGGAGCAGCAGTCAGACTTGTAATTCTTGAAGAAATTATAGCAATAAAATCCATTTGTTTTTAATTTCTAAAGAAGCAAAGTAGAAAGTATAAACAGTAATAAAGGAAATAGGTACATAAAAAATGGAAAAATCCATCATTTGATTTACAGAAGAGATTATATGAGCTGAAAGCGACCTGTGGTTGTTATATTTGCAAGTCTTTTCATGTTGATGTTGTGGAGAATATGTAGCTTCTAAGCTCAGTGTAGATTAATATTAAAGTTTAATTAACTTCTAAGTTAATTATACATTGTCTTAAAACCTCGATATAACTCTTTAAGCACTGAGCAACTCTACTAACTGTACTATATAATCATTTTGTTCTTATTTCTGGAACTAAAGCAGTCATTCCAGGTTGATGAATTGATTAAACTCTTTTTCAGAATTTGTTTTACCTTGTTTAAAAAGTTTTTCTCAGTGTGAAACATTAACTGCGTGGCATTTATTTTGAAGCTGGGATCTGTTGACCTTCATAAAGTATGTGAGTACTTGGCAGAGCACTCACGAGGTACACAAACTACGAACGCTCCGTGTGTTGTATGTACACACATACACACATGTCACCACTATGGCATATCATGTGTTATGCGACGGCCCTCATGCTCCCCAGAGGAATTCCACAGCCTGTTTGCATAAAAGCTAGAACTGTACCCCAATGCTCAGCTTTACAAAATATTTCTTAGCACATATTGTGACTAATGACAACCAGTTAAAGCTAGATCAAGCTAATTTTACTCTGCAGAAAAATGGTCATTAGATGTGTCATGAGTTATGAGTTATGTTTGAAACAAACAACACCTTTTGGATATATTACATTAGGTTTTTTTATAACCATGTAAAAATGTCTGTGTTTGTGTGGCCAGTTACACATTAACATTTAAAGTATGTAAGACATAATATAATGGAAATGTGCCTCTTGAGAACCCAATTTAAAATCCTACTTTGTTCTGCTGAGGTTTACACGATATATTTGCGGCCTAATTCTGCTAACCAGTTTCATGTTTTAAGTTTTAAAAGCTTAATTAAATATGTAGCTTTTCAGACACTAATCACATTACACTCAACAACCATCCTTTGAGCACAGTTAATTTCTCTCAGAGAAAAATTAACTTGTCATGGTAATTTCTTGCCGTGTGCAACCAGAGACTTATGTTTGAGTACTGCACACAGATTAACCATGGTAAGCATGAAGTAATCCTACAAAAAACCAAGAATTTTACAATGTGACTGATAGATTAATGCTCATTCATATGTGTCAGTTTTTGTTTTTGTTTTCTTGTTATTTTAACCCCCATTTCACCATTCAGTGGGATTCCACATGCTCTTGTGGATGCCGAAGTTCTATTATTCACTTCACTGCAAATGTAAGATTTTCTACGTCATAATCACATTGTGACTAGCTCAAATAATACACATTTGCAAACTTCAATGAACCCAGCAATTACCGTTTAATAATCTGGTGTCATTGCATTTCACATGGAACCACAGGCAATTAAAACTGAAAAATAAAATATTTTGCATTAAACACATATGTAATGAAATGTTCTGCTTCTAAAAATTTGGTTAATTCAACACTTGGATGGCAAGATGTGCCAGAAGTAAATTTCCTTTCAAATTTCTCAAAATAGGAGTAATTGTTCAATGCTTCTTCTTTATGACAATTGGCCTCAATAAGGTTAGGTTTGTGCCTGTTTTCAATAATAGGCAAGCAGAAACATAGATAACATAGATAAGATTCCTGATGGAATCTTTGGGCTGCACTGTGGTCTTAATATTTCCCAGCATTCAATCTGATTAATATATACATCTCTGCGTGTATGTAAGTGATTTAGACTAGAAGGTTCTTTCCATTGAGCAGCTTTCATCGAATTTCTCCAAAGGCATAGAGTTGCCATTAAATCTGTGCAAGTAGTTTCTGAATGACTGCATTTAATAGACCAAATATACTTCTGACAAGACTGAGAGCACCACATGTTACCTAGTTAAAAATGTAGCACTTAAACCACTTAAATCACTTAATAGGCTTTGCATCAATACATATCTTTAGATCACCCATACGTTCCCATTTAAAGTGAAGTATATTTCAATACACATTTTTCTGTATTTGCAAATGAAGTGAAAAGTTCTGGAAAGGCTGAATTGTGATATATTCCTGAGTTACTTTCAGTTGCCCGGTTGTCATTACAGTACACCCTGCCCACATACACTCTGAATTTCACAATGATTGTTTATGCATTAGCTATTGTAAGCTGTTATCCTGGAATGAAGAATGTAGATACATTTACAAAAATGTCTCCCTTGTAATGTAAGAAAACCAACATACCCCACCCGGCTGATGCAGGAGGAATTGTTCAAAGGTTCCTGGAATGCTTAAGACATAACCGCCCCCGTTTGTTTGCATGCTGCAGAGAAGTGGGTAGCGGACCCTTATGAGACAAAGTTTGTACTAGCTGACAGATCTTAGCTCTTATTTAATGGTTCTATTCGGTAAACAATACCTTTTCTTTGAAGTATTTTTTTTTTTACACAATCTGTCATTTGCTACAACAGTCTCTTTTAACATATTTCCCGTGTTTGACCTATCTTTAATTCACTGGTTGCATTTACTGTGTTCCCAACATCTGTCATCACTATTGTATTTCTAAACCAGTTCACGCATTGTCAACAAAACTCTGACGGCTGGAATTTCTTAACAAGAATTGCTGCGGGATTTTTGCAGGAGGTTGTAGGAAAATGATTTTATACTCGAAAAGACCTTTGATACATGCAATTTTCTTATGGTGAAATCGTTCTTTTTCCTTTTCTGTTTTTAAATAATCCCATCACAGACCCCTTATTTGGAAGTAATCCACCCAAAGTAATCTGGTGTTTATTCTACCAATGTACTCTCTTTGGACTAGTGATTAAATGTATTTTTGCAAATACAAATGAGAATTCACAATAAAAAATTAAGAGCAGAGGATTATCATAATCGTTTGCAAAATCCCCCAAATGTATTCAATTGAACTAATAAAGGGAAAGATCCATAAAGTCTTAATAACGAAAATTCCATGGCTGAGCAACACAGACAGGTCCAAATGTCTTTATAACTCAACTGTTTTCTGTAAGCAAATCACGTTCTAAGTAGCCATTTAGATCAGTGTTTTTCCACCCGGTTCTCGAGAACCCTGAGATGGTGCATGTTTTTGCTTCCTCCCAGCTCTCTACCAGATAGTCCATGTTTTTGCTCCCGGTGCTGGGAGGAAGCAAAAACATGGACCGGCTGTGGGTCCCCAAGGGCCGGGTGGAAAAACACTCATCTATATAAATCAGGCATAGCTCATTTAACTTAAGCACAACGGTGTACACAATTTGGATTTCTTGACTTTAAGGTTAATCATAACCCTATATTACATTTTTGTTACACAAAGAATTTTTAGTATTAGTTATTTTTGTCCGGTGTATCCAGTGTGGGTTGTTCAAAAATGTGCATGCTGAAATCTCACATGCTCAAAATGTATACAGAAAATCTTTTGAAACATCATTGTTCATTACATATTTGGTAGGCTGCTGTATTTTGTGACATTACATGAGCAACATTTATGTTAGCGTTGCCATGCTAATTAGAATTAACTGACCATGCAGTATCCCTGCGTCAAATGCTGCGCAAATCTTAATATTTTAGTCATTTTGCTTATGTCAGACGCTGTCAGATCAGATTGAGGGTTTTGTTAGTCACCCCCAGTGAAAAGCTGACATATAGTTTCACTGCCCCCTATGCCCATGAGCAAGCTATGACATTTGCTATAGAAAGCTCTAAATTTGGCAGATTCATAAATATAAAATCAAACATTTGCACAAATTCTGTGCAGCAGCAATATGGTGCTGCCTGATGAACAGGAGCCCACCTCGGATTTGAACCTGCAGCCATCTGCTACAGAGTCCACATCATTAACCACTGTATTGCCATTGACCTTAGCAGTAACACCATCCATATGTTGGGTCCACAGTGAGCTGGGTTTCACTGCACAGTTGGGTCTTGGTACACAGTTATTCATCCAATATCCCTGCTTTTATTTATCTTAGCACAGCTATGGTAAGTTTAGATGTTTTAGGGCAAACAAATACATTACTTCATTGAATTTTAAATATTGTTGTTAATGTGGTAATTATGAATAGTAGTACAATTGGAATAAAACAAATTGTATCCAGTCAATAAGACATGCAATTTCATACTTATATAAAATCAGCGTGTCAGGCAGGTTTTAAGCATGAGTTCCGATGCAGCCTTTAAGAGGTTTTGATAGTTAGAAAGTAGACCTTCCAAGTCCATGTTGGACCTGAAATCGCAAAGGACAGGAGGACAGGAGACTGGAAACAAAAGTAACAAGAACAGGATACATAATGTGGATAATAATCCACATTGTATATTAAAGTCAATATCGGTGTTCAGGGAAATAAACTCCATCTGACAGGCTTGGTACCAATTTGCATAAACCTCCCCACCAATCAGGTGGCTAAATGCGTCTTTCTGTCTCTGTCATGATAACGCGTAAACCAGGAAAATGGCCTCTTCTTCGTCAATTATTTTTAAGATAAACTACTGCCTTGGGTAAATCGATGGCTCCCAGAACTCCAATAAGACACTGGAAAAGTGTCTTATGAAAAAGGTGCTTTATTTAAACAGTGCTAATATACTTAATCACTGTATAGATCACATGTATTAAAGCTTAACATTATTTCATAAGCATTTATAATATTCATAATTTAATCCATGTTAGATATTCCTTTCTGTTAGTTCCACCGCTTGCTTGATGTTTTTACATAAGAACAAAAATGACGGTGAATTCAGCAAAACGCCCGGTAGAGGGCAGTCTACTACAGCTCAATAATGTCATATCCCCATTTTGACATCCCAATAGGTCGTATTCTGTTCGTAGACGATCTGAATTGAAGATACACTTTGGCAGAGGTGTAGCTGTTAAGAAATAGATTCTTCTATCCGTCCATAACCGCTTGTCCTACTTAGGGTCGCGGGAGGTCAAGAGCCTGTGGGCGCAGGGCAGGGAACAACTCAGGATGGGGCGCCAACCCATCGCAGGGCACAATCACACACCGTTCACTCACACACGCATATCTGCAACCCCAACTAACCTCAGCATGTTTTTGGACCGGGTGGAAGACCAAGAGGAAATCCCACGCCGACAGAGACCATGCGAACTCCACAGGCATGGAGCTCCGGCGGAAACTCGAACCCATGTCCCACAGGTGTAAGGCAATCGTGCTAACTACTGAAAACAAACAGCCAATATTATAGTGATACTTAGATAATGAGTTGTAAAAATATTAATTTATCTTCTGAACCGCTT